AAAAAAAAAAAAAAAAAAAAAAAAAAAAAAAAAAAAAAAAAAAAAATGCTTTAAATGCAAAGAATGACGTTTATTGTTGTTATATATGTATATAAATATACCTTGCTTTGATGCGGCTACAGGTGATTGACAAAATCATACCGATAAGAATGAGCGCGCACGAGGAGCTGCTCGGTGCCGATCTCGTCGAGCATCGGATACGACACACGCAAGTGAGCTTCTTTACATTCATTTTTTACTTGCTTATTTACATCGTACAGCGCTCTCTGGTTTTTCGATTAAGTACACGACAGGAATACAATTTTTTTTTTTTTTTTTTTTTCTTTTTTCATCATTTTTTGTTGGTTTTTTTTCTTTCTTTTTTTCATTTTCATTAAAACACACTACAGATTGGCGTGAGCCGGGCTATGTCTGCCTTTCATCCGGAGGTCAATAAACACAGCTTGTTCAACGTTCCCAATATCGGAACGAATCCAGGTGAGAGGAATGTTTTTATATTTTGCAATAAGCGAGCTTTTTCCTCCAATAACCCACAACCAAGCATCCTTACACACTCGATGCACGTCCATTGCCTATACGTATCGTAGAGCTCACAATTTCTGAATTCACTAACTAAAAAACAGTGTTCGAGTGCCCCTGTATAATTTGTTCGGAAATGAGATATTCGCTACAATTGCTTCGTCTCGAAAATTACATGGTATTAATTTACAAAGTACACTCCCCGAGATCGTGACTGACTGTTAATCGTGTGTCGATAGGTCACGAGTCGTTTCTCAAAAAGTTCATTCGCGTCAAGCGTCTGAACAAGTTGAAAATCTTTCGCACCTCGACTCTGGTCGAGAAGAAGGACACCACGCCGGATAAAAAACTACGAATCTCGACGGTCGCATCGGTGAAGTCTGACTCGCCCAAAGCAGCATGGACCCAGTGAACGTTTCCGACTCATCGATTCACAGCTGTACACTGTATGGGCAATGCTTTTACGTATATTATACTTCTTATGACTATTGTTATTATACTTTATTGCCTTGTCCGAGGATATCAATACAAGTAAATATCCTCGAACAAGTTACTCGTATAATTATGATTGAACTTCACTAGAAGATCGTTTAATCATCAATTATCGTTATAATTTGTCTAAACACTCAAGAGTTGTGCGATCGCTATAATACTTCAACTGGTTTTGTGCTACAAGCCTATATATATACACGTGAAACGATATAATGGGTGTTATCTACTATGTGTTTGTTGCCTACTTTTTGCGAAACCTAGTGCACTATATAGCTTATATTCTTTCCATTTTAAATGCCACGGCCACCTTTTTTTTTTTTTTTTTTTTTTTTTTTTTTTTTTTTCTTTTTTCTTTTTTCGCACCCAAAGACAAAAATAAAGGGTCTCGTTTCGTTTGACAAAGTGCAGCTCTGGCGTGTGCCATAATGCTGGGACCTCGGCTGGGAAGGTACGACCATGGCATTGACCCTCTTCCGCTCGGCTGTCCCGTCAATGCCGTCATGGGTCTCTTTGTCTTGTGGTAATGTATAATATTGGAAACGAGTATATAAATATATTAATCCAAATAAAACGCACAATATGAGGGCGGCGTGTAGGTATTGCTTATTGCAAAATATAGTTATGTGATGTGCAATAATAGTATGAATGTAGCGTTAACATAAATAAACTCATCCTGATGAATAACCAAATCGGCGTTTCATCGACTGTTCGTAACCACACGCGTCTACAGTGAATGGCTAAACGTTCACTGGTGATTAATTTTCGGATAGAAAGTATAGGTATACCCGATAAAACGTACCGATCGACGGAATCGGCAAAAATACAGTTGATGGGAAAAAAAAAAACACACACACAGGTGGGGCTGGTTGGCTTTCAACAGCGGAAGCACCTACGGAGTGAGCGGCCAGCTCTGGAAGTACGCGGCCCGCGCGGCCTCCTCGACCATCATGGCCAGCATAGGCGGTGGCGTCGTCGGCCTCGGCTTCAGTCTCACCAATCCCAAGGGCATCGACATACTCAGCCAGATAAACGGGATTCTTGGTAACCGGGCTGCAAACTTTTCTTTTCTTTTCTTTTTTTTTTTTTTTTTTTTTTTTTTTTTTTTTTTTTTTTTTTTTTTTTTTTTTTTTT